AGGTCCTCTTTATGGTAACACCCAGAAACTTAAAACTGGCCACTTGCTCCACTCGGTCTCCATTGATAAGCAAGGGCTGGATGTCTGATCTGTTCCTTCTATAGTCCACTATAAGCTCCTTGGTCTTATTGGTGTTGAGGACCAAGTTATTGTCTCCACACTACGAAAGCAACTAAGATGATTAGAGGCCTGGAGACTAAAACATATGAAGCAGGATTTGAGTTTGGCTAGGCTAGAGAAAAGAAGGGCTGGGGTGATATGATAGCAGTATTCCAGTACTTGAGAGGCTGCCACAAAGAGGAGGTGGTCAACCTCTTTTCCAAAGCACCTGAGGGCAGGACAAGAAACAATGGATGGAAACTAAGCAAGGAGAGAAGCAACCTAGAACTAAGGAGAAATTTCCAACACTGAGAACAATTAACCAGTGGAACGGCTCGCTGTCAGAAGTTGTGGATGCTTCATCACTGGAAGTTTTTAAGAAGAGACTGGACAGTCGCTTATTTGACATGGTATAGGATCTCCTACTTGACCAGGGGATTGGACTGAAGAGACGTCCAAGGACTCTTCCAACTCTATTCTGGTCCTAGGACAGGGTGTCAAATTCACAACGACACCTTGCAATCACATGACATATCGCAACATTTCCCCCCCCCTTCGCTAAAACGGGTGGGCGTGGCCAGTGCGTATTTGCATCTGGCCCACAGGCCGTGACTTTGACACCCCTGTTCTAGGAGTTACGCAATGCAGAGGAGTGTGTGCTTTCCTTCCGCTAGTTAATGACCGCAATAAAGTTATTTGAATTTTGTAGGTTTCCATTTTCTCCTCCCTCTGCAGTTTAATTCAGGAAAAGGGTAGAGGTAGTCCTCAACTTACGGCCCCAGTTGAGACCAGAATTGAATTGCTAAACAAGGTTGTTGTTTTTAAGTGAGTCCTATCCGATTTTATATATTTTTTCCCCACCGTCGTTAAGCAATCACTGCAGTTAAATGAGTCATGCATTAAGTAAATCCACCTCTCCCCATTGACTTCGCTTGTTGGAAGCCAACTGGGAAGGTCACAAATGGCAATCGCACAGCCACAGGACCGTGCATTCTTCATAAATACATGCCAGGTGCCAAGCATCCAAATTTTAATCACGTTATCATGGGCATATTGTAATAGTCATATGTGTGCAAGGATCAGTTCTGATTTTTTTCTCAGTCATTTTAACTTTGGTCACTAAACAAAGGACTGTACGTTGAGGACTACCTGTGTGTCCACAGGAAGAGCTAAGATTTAGTTAGCTTTGATGGCAATAGGACTTCCTCTGAAGGTCATCTGCTAAGAGACAAGTGGCTTCCTTGTATTGTCCCCTGCATTGGGGGCTCCATTGAAATGCAAGGATACCTTTTGAATTAAACAAGTAGGCAAGTTGAAATTTTGGCCTGCAAATTGGGGACGGGATTCAGATGTGCTGCTTTCCCAAGCTGGACTCTTTGGTTTGAGCTTAAATGACTTTATTAATTATTATTATTATTATTATTATTATTATTATTATTATTATTATTATTATTATTATTATTATTATTATTATTATTATTATTATTATTTATGCTGCGATGCTCTTTTCATGGTTTTATCAATTTGGCATGTTCCTGTTCCATAGGTTATGTTACAAATGAAGGTGAATATATATGTCCCAGGATAATGTTGCAGGATCCAATCTGGGTCAGTCACGGGACCAAAGGTTTTGTCTTCCGGACTTTTGGATTCATGCTGGAGCCCATCCTCAGATCGGCCCTGGTATGAATCGGAAGTCTTGGAAGAAAATACCTCTGGTCCGGTGACCGACCCAATTCGATTCTGCGTAGGTGATGTTATTTATTTATTTAGCCCAGAAATAAATTACCCTAGCCTCTACAGGTAGACTTCGACTTACAATTTAGTGACCATTCAAATTACATCAGATTTAAAAATATATTCAATTTTTTTTTTTAAGATAAAGGCTAGAGTAATTCTTTCTGGGCTAAATAAATAACACAACCTATGGCCAGAGCAGGCCCAAGTATGGATAATTGCTTTCAAGCCCTATTCTACTCACCAAGAAGAGGAAGGGGAGAGAAAGAAATCGGTTTTCCATGAATATTGGCTTGTTGAGGTTGAAAAACTTTGGTTTAGTACCTCATAAGAAAATAATCTCCCCCAGGTTCATTCCCCCTCTTCAATCTGGCTCCATCTAAGCTGTTTTTTTTGCACTCAGTGCTTTTGTCTGTGGTCTTTTTTTAGCCAATGGCGGGAAGAAGCTCCTGAAGGCTTACCAGGGTGGACATCATCGGAGCGTGAAGCTCTCAGTGACGAGCTCAGTGATGTCCTCATTTATCTGGTTGCGCTGGCAAACAAGTGCCACGTGGACCTCCCTTCGGCCGCTCTCCGTAAAATAGAGAAGAACCGCCTCAAATACCCAGCCAAGCGGGTGTATGGTTCCTCCAAGAAATACACAGAGTATCAGGAATAAGTATGGAACACATCTCTTCCTGGATGGAGAGAAGAAAAATCACTCCGTGTCTTCTAGAAGATGCTGTTTTCATGATTTGGGACTTTTTTGGGACGAGCAGTTCAAAGCGACCTCTTTTTCATTCTAGACTTTGTGGGATGGGTCCATCCAAGCTCTGATTCAAAGATAGACAAAAGGAGATCTGTTGTTTTTTTTTTTGTTCCTTTCCCCTTTGCATAGTAGATTTGGGGAACCTCTGACCACCCAGGAAGTGTTGGGCTGCAATTCCAACACCCTGAGACCATGTTGGCCGAGAGTCATTGGAGTTGGGAGTCCAACCACGGTTGGAAAGCAGCAGATTCTCCATCCCAAACTTCAACGGTTGCAGATGAATGCACGGGAGTGCAGAGGAATCTCTTTGGAGGGAGGTAAAACTGAAGTGTCACATCGGCTGTGAAAAAAGGTCATTTAGAAAGAGAAATACATGTCCCCTTCCTCATGGAGGTATATTCAGCATAAAAGTGCAAGGAGCTTTTTATAAACTGCTTTCTGAGTGAGGCCAGATTCTTCTCTCCAACTTGTGGCTGTAGTTTAGTTTTTAAAGAAAAATAGGTGGTCACTATTTTGACATGAAGAATTGACAATTTCTTCCCGACTCCACATTCTTCCCAATAGAATTGCCCCCTCAGGGTGTAGATTACACTTCATTTGGTATTTGGGTCTTAAAAACAAGCAGAGGGCATTTTTGAGGGGGAAAAATGGCAGGAGGCTGAAGAATGAAGTGGCTGTGGTGGTTTTCCTCCCCAAACTGACAACATGACAAGGCTACTGTTGTAAAATAATAAAATTTCAATAGGTTACTAGATACGCCTTCTCTGTGTTGATTCATTTGCTCCTACAGGGTGAGAAGAAAGGAGTGATATCATGATGCAAATGTGTCATCCCCTTCCATACACGTGATAGTACAATGTATACGCAGCACATGCATGTGGGATATTGTGACCCAGGTGCAGAAACAGTGGAGCGCACATCATGAAGTGGTAGCACAAATACCATGATGTGGGAGTTATCGTGGATAGAAATGGATACCTATGTTTCTTCTTCAGCACTTCGGTTTCCCCTCCATCATATTCCTATTCTTGATTGCCCAATAAACTGTCCTGTTGATTCTGCCTATCATAGGTAGTCCTCAACTTACGACCACAATTGGAACCAGAATTTTGGTTGCTAAGCAATATAAGTGAAATGTGCCCGATTCCATGATCTTTCTTGCCATGATTGTTAAGCGAATCTCTGCAGTTGTTAAGTGAGTCACATAGTTGTTAAGTGAATTTGGCTTCGCACATTGAATTTGCTTGTCAGAAGTCAGCTGGGAAAGCTTGATCTTGGGATGTTGCAACCATAAATGCTGGCCAAGCATCCAAATTTTGATCATCGTGGAGTTGCAACGTCCAAAGTATAAGAACTGTTCATAAGTCATTTTTATCACTGCCATTGTAACTTCAATTGCTCAAAGAAGGTTGTAAGTTGAGGACTACCTGTATAATATTAAGTCGAGAACGAAGAGTTAATTTTCTAAGTCATCTTTTTGTGGCTTCTTACCAACTGTTCAAATGTAATATCTCCGCATTCTTGCAGAAGATCTATAGATATTGTTAAACATATTTGGTTCTCATGTTAAGCTAAGCGATGATGGTTTAATCATGATGGCTTTGCCTGCCATCGCACAAAACACCTCCATGACAAAAGGATCAATATTACAGTTGAGTGATCTGTGTCACTCTAGCCAAGGTGTGCTGATAAAATCAAAATGATCCTGAATAAATCAGATATGGATTTATGATTAGGTCCTATTGAAAAGCAGCTACTGGTAGTCCTCAGCTTTCAGCCATTCATTTAGTGGCCATTCAAAAAGAGTGTCTTATGACAATATTTCACATTTATGACCGTTGCACACCCCCATAGTGACATGATCACAATTCGGACACTTGGCAATTGACTTGTATTTATGACGATTGCGGTGTCCTGGGGTCACGTGATCACCTTTTGAGACCTGACAGTCAATGGGGAGGCCAGGTTCACTTAACAACTGTGTTACTAACTTAACAACAGCACTGCTTCACTTAACAACTGTGGCAAGATAGATCATCAACTGGGGCAAACCTCACTTGACAAACATCGCACTTAGCCACAGATATCCTGGGCTTAGTTATGGTCATAAGTCAAGGACCACCTATATTTGATGCTGGACAAGACTCAATCCCTAATCATGAATCAGTTCTACTTCAGATAACGGGTGTGATGGGTGTCAAGCTTGCTGCATCACATTGTCGCCACATGATGTATCATGATGTTTTTCCCCTTCACGGAACTGGGGTGGGCATGTCCTGCGTGTGACACATCCGGCCCAGGGACCCCCGGTTTGACATCCTGCTTTAGATATAAATACCTTATAAGAAAGAAATTGAGAGAGAATAAAGTGCATTAAAAATTCCAGGCCTGACATCGATCCAAAAATTGCATTTTATTGGAGAGTTTTGGATTGTTGAAGCACTACTAGGCTGGCAAGTGAGTATTTCCTATTAATGGATGGGAAAAGAGGTCTGTGAAAGAAGGAGATAGAGGAATGAAGGGAAGGAATCCCCCTTTCCCACTTCTCCAAATGCAGAGTTCACCTGGCAGAGCTAACCTGGCCATTTTCCAAAGCTGGTGGGCTCCTCTGACCCAAAGATCAGCCAATCTCCCTTCGTGGATTCCTCTGATTCTTGGAAAAAGAGGCTTTTTTCACAAGCTGTCGCATTGTTCTCCCTTGTTCTGCAGCATCTGCTCCTGCATTTTCCGTAACATTTCCTGCATCCGACGGAGCTGGGAAAACCAATGGAGAAATGAAAGGTGTGCTCACAGTGCAGCCTGAGACTATTATGCAAGAGCGGCTGAGATTTGGGTTGGGAAGTTGATGGATTGCTCTGAGCAAAGACTGTACCTAACCTTACTAAGAGGGCAGGAACCTGCATTTCCCTCTCTGTGGCTGGCAGTTATGAAATACATTTGTCTTCTGTGATGTCCTTACTGCTCTCTGAGTTAGGTTGTTTCCTTGCAAATGTTTCCTTACCCAACTAGGTAACATCATCGGTGCTCAATGTCTATGGAGATCCTAAGTAATCCACATCATGGTTATCCCAAAGGTCTCTAACACAACCCTTTCAGCCCTTCCAAAAAGGTTCCACACCCGTTTGCAGTACTCAGGTGACCCTGAGGGCACAGATAAACCTCCAAGTGGCCTCAACTATTCCATAAAAGGATGCAAATGACCAGCTGTCTGCAAGAAGTATAAATCCTTCCATTCCCCATCCAGTCAGAGCTGAAAAAGTTTCTTGGATGAGAAGTGAAACATGTTCAAGGAAAAACAATCCAGTTGCCTCTTGAAAAAACACCTTTGGGATCATCAATGCTAGTGGAGTATATAAGCAAGTGAATCCCTTTTGAAGGCGATGGGTGGTTTAGAAACATGAAATATATAAAAATAAACGGGAAGCAAATTCTACACTGACTAGCACTGATGATATTATGTAGTTTAGGTAATGAAATGACTGCAAGAAAACAACCAAGCTCCAAGAGTGCAAAGATTGCACAGTTCAAACCTGAGCTACAAATATTCTTTATGGGTGTATATTCGTCTTTTATAAGGCAAATGGGAGAAAGCGCTTTGTCTTTTCTCTGAGAGGTCTCTTCGCATCTGATTCTGTAATGGTGTGTTGGAATGACCTTGGGACATGGGGAAAAGCTGCGGTCAGAATTAGGGTATAGCAAACAAGACCTTCCCTGGTTTCTTAGGCTGTAAAAGTGAGGGGAGAGAGATGCTCTTTCAGACTTGCAAGATTCTGTCAACTTTAGAATAAAGTAGAACTTGTATTTCTGGGTGTGTTTCTTGTCTGGCCTACCTCGCAAGACTGACAGGTTGCCAAGAGATTCCCCACCGCTTGCCACTCAGATGGAAACCAAGCAGGAAAGATGAGATGGAAAGTTGCAGAAGTCCATCATTCTCCTTTGCCATCACTTGCAACAACGTGATAGCAAGACGGTTGGGAAAGTCAGTCCCTTATAGGGAAGCGCAAGAGTTTGCACAACCGTCCTGTTTCTCTTTGTGACTTACCTCTTCATCCTTCTCGCGAATTAATTTCTCTGTCTCAAACATCGGCAGGACAGGCAGGTCAGTGGCACTCTGGCGTGACAGTTTCCTAGCGAGACAGGAGTTTAAAAGTTCACTGGGTCACATTCTTGCTATTGTATGTTATCTACGATTTGCTTATTTATGCTTTACAGGTAGTCCTTAACTTACAGCAGTTCACTTAGTGACCATTCAAAGTTACAATGGCACTGAAAAAAGTGGCTTGTGGCTGTTTTTCATAGTTAACAACTTTTGCAGCATCCCCATGATCATGTGATCAAAATTCAGATATGCATGGCAACTGACTCATATTTACGACCGTTGCAGCATCCTGGGGTCATGTGATCCCCTTTTTGCGACCTTCTGACAAGCAAAATCAATGGGGAAGCCAGATTCACTTAACAACCAGGGTACTAACTTATCAACTGCAGTTATTTGCTTAACAACTGAGGCGAGAAAGGTCATGAAATGGGACAAAATTCATTTAACAAAGGTCTCGCTTAGCAAGAAACTGGGGCAAAACGCACTTAACAAATTCTCAATAACATAAATTTTAGGCTCAGTTGTGGTGGTATGCCAATGGCCACCTGTATTCAAATTGGTGTTTTTCAGATTTGGCAACTTTTAAGATGTATATGGACTTCTAGAATTCCCCAGCAAGAGGCCGTAGTTCTCCACCTCTGCCATACAAACCCAGTCAGCCCCTTGATTCATTCTTGACCTCCTCATCTGAGTTCTCTTTAGCTAAATTCCCATTTTCCAAAGTCCCAAAGCGGACTTACGCGCGGCTACTGCGATCCCGAGCCCCGGATCTGGTGAGACTCTGAATGTACTGTGCGCGGTAATTTTCGTAATGAACCTCGTGAGTCACATCCTTCAGGTCCTGCATATGAGTTTGAATCAACATGTTCCGAAGTTTGAGGAAGTCGCAATGAGCAGCGTTCTCCACTAGGAGAAGGGAAAAAGAGATCAGGACCACCTCTGACTTCCCGTGGCACAGCGCCCTCTGCTGCCCGTGTCGCTCTTGAAAAGATTTTAAGAAATCTTTAAAAGATTTACCTTCCACCGTTCCCCAAGCATACTCTCTTCCCCGAAATCCTTTGCCCTTTAACTCTCTGACCACATGGCTAGATCCAACGACAGCAAAAGGGATGCTTCTCTGCAGGGAGAACAGTTATTATTAGATGCTTGGCTGCTTTAAATAATCCAGTGTTAGACTTTGGCCACTTGAAGAGGTGTGGACTTCTGGGAGTTGAATCTCCACCACACCTCTTCAAGTAGCCAGGGTCGAGATACAGTAATCTAACTCCAGATAGCATCCTGCCTGTGCAACATACAGATGCTCTCACCTTCATTTCAGCATCTTGAGCTTTGAACGCTTCATCTTCATCAGAGTCACACTCAGGAAATTCATAAATGCAGATGCTGTTGGCTTCTAACTCCTGCCGAATCTGTAATTTTAAAACAGCCTTGAGATGTAGCTACGGAAGGGATGGAGTTTAATGCTGGTGTTTTCAGGTAGAATCAAGCATGACGGTGGATGGGAGACCACAAAGAATTCTTAATATTGGCTCTTGGAGGAAGTCAATATTATGATTCATGATGGTCCTGACACTTAGCTTCTCCATGGTCGCAGCATCCCCATGGTCGCAGCATGATCAAAATTCAGGTGCTTGGCAACCCAGTATGCATATATGACAGTTGCAGCATCCATGGGTCATATGATTGGCATTTGCAACCTTCTCAGCTGGCTTCCGACAGGCAAAGTCAATGAGTGAAGCTGGATTTAATGAGTTAGAGCTTAATGGCTCTGTGATTCAGTTAACAACTACAGTAATTTGCTTAACATCCATGGCAGAAAAAGTCATAAAATAGAGCCCAACTCTCTTATCAACCACTTAGCTTAGCAATGGAAAGTCCCAACTGCAGTCTTAAGTCAAGGACTACCTGTAATACAGGCGAAATGGATCTGCATTTTCTCATAATCTATAAGATTTATTTTCCTTGCAGGTACCTTTTCTTTCTTGTGCTGGACTTCTTTCGGTGTCAAACAATCCGCTTTTCCAATCACAGGCAGAATGCTGACTTTGTCATGGATGGCTCGGAGAAATTCTATATCCAGGGGGCGGAGCCTGTAGCAAAATAGGAGGAGCCAGTGGTTTGTCTGCCCTTGGGAAACATCCTACATAACAGCTAAGCAGTTAGGTTCCTCCTGTCCCTAGCTGATTATTTATTTCAAATAAAATAAAATAAACTCACCTATCAGCCTGAGATCAGGATAGATAGTTTGTATGCAAGGCCTTTTGAACATGCTTGATAATATTTTTATTATTATTTTTTTGCCTGATTGTACTGGATGGGGGTGCAAATTCTGGGTTAAGTTCTGTCTGAAGTTAAGCTGTGGCGTTCTTGGTGCTCTCTGAGCTTGGTTGTTTGCTTTCAGATGTTTCATTACCCTACTAGGTAACACCATCAGTGCTAGTGAGTGTGGGGTTTGCTCCCTGTTTATATATAGTGGCTTGCCCTGGCTGTGTTGAAGTAAGCTAATACTTGGTCTTCCTTTGGAGATATTTTGTCCTCCCAGAAAACCAGGGGAAAGGCTCTCACCCACTTTCCACTCTGCTTTACTCCTTAACTTGTGTGCATCATACCCGTGTCCAAAAGGCGAGAGGACGTAGAGGCAGCAATGAACACGGCCATCCTGAATATTTTTGCGATCAAGGCCGCTCTCATCCCGAAAATACTGTTCAAACTGCCCGTCAATATAATCGGTAATTGGTTTCCAGCTGTAGGATAAAAGGGAAAGAGAGAGAGCCAGTTTGGTCTAATGGTTAAGGCACCAGGACAGAAAGCAGGAGACTGTGAGTTCTAGTCCTGCCTTAACCAGGAAAGCCAGCTGGGTGACTTTGGGTCTGTCCCTGTTTCTCAGCCCAACCTACCTCATAAGGTGGTTGTTTCAAATAGGAGGACTAGAACTCACAGTCTCCTGGAAAATAGGAGGAAGAAAGTGTGCTGGATATGTTAGCCGCATTGAGTTCTTTATAAAAAATAGTAAACGTGGGATACAAATAAATAAATAAAAAATAAACAAATTTGAGGTAAGCCAGTTTTTTTAAAAGAATTTCTGGAATGTGACTTTATTACAGGAAATGATAAAATCATAGAAACTGAAAAGTTTCTATTCAATTTTTTCCTCACATTTTTAATGAAACAATATCAAATTGGACTTAGTTTAATATTCTTTCTCCGAGTCGCTTCAGTCTCTGAATTGTGTATTGACTCACAATGACTGATTTAGTGATTCTTCAAAGCTACAACAACACTGGAAAAAAGGTGATTTGCAACCTGTTCCTCACACTTATGGCTATTACACCATCCCCATAGTCACATTACTTAACAACTGTGGCAAAAAGTCATAAAATTGAACCACCTTGCTTAGCAATGGAATTCTGGCAAATCTGGCAATTCTGCTAGTTGTAAGTTAAGGACTACCTATAATCTTGTTTCCCAGTCTCTCCTTAATGTTTTTTTTTCATACCTCTCCCAAAGTCATCTTTAAATCTGTTTACTGTAAACTCATGCCAAAGGCTCTTTCCAAACAGGATTCTGTGCACATTTTTTTAGGTGTAACCTGGTTCAGTTTTCAACCACAGAATTAAGGCATAGGCACGCCCAGAGGTTTATAAAAGTTTATTCCGCTTTATAAAACCTTAGTAAGATCACAGCTGGAATACTGCCTCCCGTTTTGGTCACCACATATAAAAAAGAAGTTGAGACTTTAGAAAGAAAACAGAGAAGAGCAACAAAGATGATTAGGGGCCTGGAGATGAAAACATATGAAGAACAGTTGCAGGAACTGGGTATGTCTAGTCTAGAGAAAAGAAGGACTAGGGGAGACTTCATAGCAGTTTTCCAATATATAAGGGGCTGCCACAAAGAAGAGGGAGTCAGGCTATTTTTTGCACTAGAAGGCAAGACAAAAACAATGGATGGAAACTAATTAAGCAGAGAAACATCCTATAACTAAGTAAAAACTTCCTAACAGTAGGAACAATTAACCAGTGGAACAGATTGCATTCAGAAGTTGTGGGTGCTTCAATGGAGGCTTTTAAGAAAAGACTGGACAGCCACTTGTCTGAAATGGTATAAGGCAGGGGTGTCAAACTCAAGGCCTATGGGGTGTTTAAATCCGGCTCACAGGGTTGGCTAGGAAATATCAAAGGATCAGCCTGCGGTGCCTCTGGCAGCTAAAATGGGCTGCACGCCCCCCCCCCCCCGCTTTTACACTCCATGGCCTCCTGCAGCACTCTGCCGGCCAAAAACGGACTGAAAAACAGCCCAAAAACGGCCCAAACAACAGTTGAAAAATAGGCTGAAAATGAGCCGCGAAAACGGCCCAAAAAATTGGCTGAAAACTGGTCGGAAAATGAGGCCCGATAATAGCCGGCAGAGTGCTGCAGGAGGCCATAAAAGGTGAAAACAAGGCACCCCGTTTTGGCCGGCAGGGTGCTGCAGAAGGCATCTGTCCTGCCCCCCCCGCCCGTCCTACCGGCCCACGGAGAACTACAATGGTGATCCGGCCCTCCAAGAAATCCAGTTTGACATCCCTGGTATAGGGTCTCCTGCTTGAGCCTGGGGTGGACTAGAAGACCTCCAAGATCCTTTTCAACCTATTACTCTGTAGGTGCCTCTTACCACTCCGTATTGTCTATTGCATCCCCAAGTCCTGGAGTATCAATCACTGTCAGCTTGACTTTCACTCCTTGTTCCTCAATATCTACTGCATGTTTGACAATCTCCAGAGTCTGGGGGATCCTGGCTGTGAAGCAGAAAACAGGAAAGCAGGACCAACACTAAGGTCTCCTAGTCAGGTCACTCCTCCAGGCCCATCTTCCCAAAATCATCAGAGCTCTGCTCTCACCTTGCGCATCTGGAAGCACTCGGTCCTTATAGAGATCAGTCAAGAAAAGGCTGTTGATGAGAGTAGATTTTCCCAGGCCAGATTCTCCTGCAGAATAAATGCAGAAAGTTTGACTACAGGTAATCCTCGACTTACGACGGCGGTTGGGACCAGGATTTGCATTACCAAGCAAAACTGTTCAGCCCAATTCTATGGCGCGTCCTTTTCTGCTACGCTAGTTTAGTGAACCAGTTTAGATGTTAAGTGAATCACACCGTTGTTAAACAAATCCGGTTTATCCCTTCGACTTTGCTTGTCAGGTCGCAAATGATCCTGGTATGATCCCAGGATGCTACAACCATTGTAAGTGCTTTGTTGCCAAGTGCCCAAATTTCAATCATCCGAGTACAAGAATGCAAGAACTGCTTCGTGAGTCTTTTTTTTTAATGTCATTGTAACTTGGAACAGTTGCTAAATGAATGGTTGTAAGCTGAGAACTACCTATATAGAAGTTTCAGAGCAAGTACAAGTTAGGAGTATAGAAAGTTGCTGCTTCGTGATGATGTATCGGGTGAGCTGCCATTGGCATCTAACCATACTACAAATCTGAGTATCCTTCAAGGCTGAATCAAGATCCAGGGTATAATTTATGATAGAAACGAATCAAATACAGTAAGAGGAAGTTTAAATTTTACCTTATCCTGGCCATGATGTTCAGACTTCCATTCGGTCAGTGGAGGAAGCAATACAGGTAGTCCTCGACTTACAACCATTCATTTAGTGACCGTTGAAAGTTACAACAGCACTGAAAAAAGGGACTTAAGACCATTTTTCACACTATTGCAGCATCCCCAGAGTCACGTGGTTAAAATTCAGGTACTTGGCAACTGGTTCATGTTTATGAATGTTGCAGCATCTGGGGGGTCATGTGATCCCCCTTTGCGACCTTCTGACAAGCAAAGTGAATGGGGAAGCCAGGTTCACTGAACAATTTTGTTACTAACTTAACAACCACAGTGATTCACTTAATAACTGTGACAAAAAAGGTCGTAAAATGGGGCAAAGCTCAACAAATATTTCACTTAGCAACATAAATTTTGGGTCCATTGTTGTAGGTTAAAGACTATGTGTGTGTGTGTGTGTGTGTCTGTGTGTGTGTGTGTGTGTGTATAATATATAACACATATTTATGTGCACACACACACACACACACACACACACACAATTGTTCCCAAAATTAACACTATAAACGGGTACTAATTGCTCTTGAGATTAGTACTATAAACATTTAAGAATTATGAATACTAGATGTTTACTGTATTCTCTCAGATGCACCGATTTCAAAAGTGAAAACTCTGTTCCTAACCAAACAAGATACAAACAAAATAAGACACAGCCCTTTTCCACCGTCTTGCATTACAGTACAGTGAGCAATTCTGGAAGGAGGAGGAGGAGGAGAAGGGGGGGGGGGGAGAAGAAGAAGAAGAAATGTCCCATTAGCTTGCTTCAATGAATAGCAGAGGAAAGCTGTGCTCCCAATGGGTACCAAGTGCTTCTTCCGAATCTAGCTCTTATGTGTGAATGCTGCACCGCCACAGAACACAGTGTGCCTAAAATCAATTCAGGAAGAGAAAACAGATGCAAGAGGCCAGGGGAAGAGAGCAGGTGGGCTCGGTGAGCTAAGATGGGGAGCAGGGACTTTGGCATTTCCTCCAATGGGGGAAAGCTAGTGGTGTAACGACTTACCTGCTACCATCAGCGTGAAGTCAAAACCCTTCTTCACGGTTTTCCTGTGGACCTGGGTGGGCAACGTAGCGAAGCCGACGTAATCTTTATCCTGAAGGCCAGACAAAGAAAGGTCACCTCAAGACTTACTGCTCTGAGAAAAGACGATGGAGGCGTTGAGGGGGTATTTTCTGGGTTCTCTTACCATAATGGGTCTCTCGCTGAAGCGATGAGACAGGGCAGGAATGTCTGCTGCGTGCGTATCTTGGTGCCTCTGCCCACCACTTCCTGTGGTGGTGGTGAAACAGGAAGCCCATTTTGCATCTACATCAAGGCCTCCTCGCCTCCTGTTCTTCGCCTGGCTTTCATTTCCTCCGGTTTCTACCTGCGGGTTGCCTTGCACCGAAGCTGAAAATATGCTCTCCTCAAAATAGTATCTGCTTCTCTTGCCTGCCCTGCTCGTGCCTAACAAATGTTCCACTTCGACACAGGCAGATACGGATCGGTTCTCAAACATCTGAATTTTGATCACACGGCCATGGGAATGCTGCAACGGTCGTAAGCGTGGAAAAAAATAATGGCACCTTTTTTTTTCTTTTTTTTTTAGTGCTGTTGTAACTTCTGAAGAGGTCAGTATAAAGACATTCCAAATCCTGAAAGTTCCAAAGTTCTTATTTTTAAAAAAACTAAACACTTTACACCAGGGGTGTCCAACCTTGGCAACTTTAAGACTTGTGGACTTCAACTCCCAGAATTCCTCAGCCAGCTTTGCTGGCTGAGGAATTCTGGGAGTTG